GAGGCAGGAGACTCGCTTGAGCCCAGGAGTTGGAGGTTGCTGTGAGCTGTGAAGCCACGGTGCTCTACCCAGGGGGATAGCTTGAGGCTCTGTCTCAAAAAAAAAAAAAACTAAAACTAAAACATGGCTCCTGAGGCCCAAGTTGCTAGGGAGTGCATCAGAGTCACAGATTCTGGCTTGATGGGCAACCTACATCCAATTCTGCCACAGAGAGCAAATCTGACCCAGGTGCCACAAGAGGTTGCAAGACCTAAGACTATGACCTTGGCCTAATAGCCAGTCCAAGCAGGTTATGTCAGCCCTGCCACAAGAGGGAACACCTTGCCTAAGCCTTTCCATTGTGGGGAAAATGAAAATAGGAGAACCCCAAAATCCTTTGACACCAAGGACATTAGCAGCAACCTATGCTGCCATTACCACAAACTTCTATAGCCTATGCCACTGAAGTACCCACAGTTATTTCTGATGTTGAACACAGCTGAAGAAGCTGCATAAAGACTATTCCATTGCACCTATTCAGAAACAGAGTTACCACACCCTTCCTAACAGACACACCAAAACCCAACAGCAGGTCAAAGTTTTCTCTATGAAAGCTACTCTAGAAAGTCTGGAAGAGGAAATCATCACACCAGATGCACGGACCTCATTGCAGGGACACAAAAAACATGAAAAGTGAAGAAATGGGCAGCACCTATGGCTCAAGGAGTAGGGTGCCAGCCCCATATGCCAGAGGTAGTGGGTTGAAACCCAGCCCTGGCCAAAAAAAAATAAGTGAAGAAATATGACACCTCAAAAGGAATATCATAACTCTCTAGTAACAGACCTTACTAAAAAGGAAGTCAACAAATTGCCAGAAAAGGAATTCAAAATAACGATCTTAAGCAAATCTCAAAAACTCAAGAAAACAGGGTGGCACCTGTGGCTCAAAGGAGTAGGGCACTGGCCCCATATATTGGAGGTGGCAGGTTCAAACCTGATCCCAGTCAAAAACTGGAAAAAAAAAAAAAAAAAGACACAAGAAAACATAGATAGGCCAGGTGCCTGTAGCTCAGTGGATAGGGCGCTGGCTGCATGCTCTGGGGCTGGTGGGTTTGAACTCAGCCTGGGCCTACTAAACGAAAAAAAAAAAAAAATACCCAGGCATTGTGGCGGGCGCCTGTAGTCCCAGCTACTAGTTAGGCTGAGGCAAGAGAATTGCTTGAGCCCAAGAGTTGGAGGTTGCTGTGAGCTATGATGCCATGGTACTGTACTGAGGGTGACAAAGTGAGACTTTTGACTCAATAAAAAAATAAATAAAACATATATAGAAAAGTTAAAATCAGAAAAATAACTTCACAAAATAAACAAAAAATTCAACAAAAAGACATTATAAAAAAGAAGCAAGTAAGATAAGGAGTTGTAGCTCATGTCTATAATCCTAGCACTCTGGGAGGCTAAGGCAGGTGGACAGCTTAAGCTCAGGAGTTTGAGACAAATTTGAGCAAGATTGAGACCCTCATCTCTACTAAAAATGAAAAACTAGCTGGTTGTGTGGCAGGCACCTGTAATCCCCACTACTCGGGAGGCTGAGGCAAGAGAATTGCTTGAGCCCAAGAGTTTAGGTTGCTGTGAGCTATGACGCTACAGCACTCTACCAAGGGTAATAGAGTGAGACTCTGTCTCAAGAAAAAGAAAAAAAAAGAAGCAAATAAATCTTGCAGTTGAAGGATTTGATGAATACATGTAATGTAACAAATATAATAGAAAGCTTCAACAGCAAACTTGATCAAGCAGAAGAATGAAAGTCTGAAATTGAAGATAGGTCACTTGAAATCATACAGTCAGAGAAAAAAATAAGAATGAAAAAAAGAGTACACAGATAACAGCATGGGGCAGTGGAAAGAGCTTGCTTGGAAGTATAAAGGCCTGGATTTAGGCCCCAGTTCACCCACAAATGGGAATAATCTCTGCCCTGCTAATTTCCAGAGCTGTTGTAATGAAAATAATGGATATGAAATTTCTTCTCTGAAAAGTAGGAAGGCACTATAAAATGTGAAGCATTATGTACTAATGTACATGGTCGAGCTGAAATACAGAAAATTGCTGCCAAACTCAATTTTGGAGCAATCAACATTTTAGTCTCTTCTCCCCAGAAAACTCAAGGATTTGAGTTCTTCCAGATGATATCCAAATAGCTTCCCCTCCAGGAATCTTAACCATCTCCTCAAGCTGAGTTAGCCCCTACCTCCTTCAAACCTGCTTAGTGCCCTGTTTATCCTGCTAATCTAATATTAACATCCTCTGCCATTTTAGAATAATAATTGTTACTATACACTGAACATCAGCTAGGCATCAAGTACTTGAATGCTAAGCCTCTCAATGACTCAGCAAGGTATTACATCCATTTTATAGACCAGAGGACTCAGGCCCAGAGAGATTATAAAAGACCCAAGTGGCCAGGTGCAGTGGCTCATGCCTGTAATCCTAGCAATCTGGGAAGCCGAGGTGGGTGTATTGCTTGAACTCATGAGTTTGAGATAAGCCTGAGCAAAAGCCTGACTCTGTTTCTACTAAAAACAGAAAAACTGAGGCAAAAGGATTGCTTGAGCCCAAGTTAGAGGTTGCTGTAAGCTATGACACCACAGCACTCTACCCAGGGTGATAGCTTGAGACTCCCTCAAAAACAAAAACAAAAAACAAAAAACAAAAGCTACATTTACCCAGATAACAGGAAGCAAATCTGGGATCTAAAACCAGTTTTCTCTGAACCTTTTGTCCAACTAAATATGTAACTTTGTTTTTTTGAAATGGTATCACTTTATATTCTTCCAGGTTCAAGACCAGCCTGAGCCAGTTGGAGACCCTGTCTCTTAAAAACAGCTGGGGCTCAGCACCTGTGGCTCAAGAGGCTAAGGCGTCAGCCACAAACACCTGAGCTGGCAGGTTCAAATCCAGCCCAGTCCCACCAAACAACAATGATGGCTGCAACCAAAAAAAATAGCCAGGCATTGTGGCAGGTGCCTATAGTCCCAGTTAGTTGGGAAGCTGAGGCAAGAGAATCACTTGAGCCCAGGAGTTTGAGGTTGCTGTGAGCTATGACAGTACAGCACTCTACTGAGGGTGACAAAGTGAGACTTTTGTTTCCAAAAAAAAATATTAGCCAGATGTCATGGTGGGCACTTGTATCCTTAGCTGTTTGGGAGGCTGAAGCAGGAGGATCACTTAAGCCCAGGAGTTTCAGATTGCTGTGAGCTAGACTGATGCTGTGGCACTTTTTTTTTTTTTT